AAGGAAGGAAGGAAGGAAGGAAGGAAGGAAGGAAGGAAGGAAGGAAGAAAGAAAAAGAAAAAAAGAAAGAAAGAAAAGAAAGAACGAAGTAAAGGACAATCAAGAAAGTCTTACCTAAAACCACAATCAACAGTTTCTGGAATGCATCTGACACAGCCTTCTGAATAGCAAGCTTCTGGGTTGTTTTCCTTTTCATCAGAACTGATAATGGCCCTCAATTCAACCAAAACAAATGGATTTAAAATACCTAGCTGAATGATAACTGATTTTTATGTTATATATTTAAATATGAAAGTGCATCCATGATTCTTAGATCATTATCTTAGCAACTAAGGGCAGGCACAACACAAGCACTTGGTGGAATGGCTCTGCTGTAGGTATATCCTGGCCGGGCACAACTGTACTGCCCTGATCTACCCCAGAAGTTCCTGAAGTACCAGAAGGGAGATGCAAGCCAAGAAGGTGGCACAAATCTCACATCACTCACAGATTTCAAATGGACAAGTTGAAACTATAATCCTACAGACCCTGCCTATTCTCCTGGGCATCAAGGGCTGGAATCACAGAGTGAGAAAGATTTGGTGGTAGCACACATGACCTGGTCTTTTCCTGAGCATCACCCATGGGAACCTACTCCCCTCCATTTGCTAACAGCCCTGCCTCTGCCTTAAAACCCTAAGCCTAAGTGCTACGGACTCTGGGAAAAACCAGTACCAATTGGAATACCTTTTCTAGGAATCTATATTTGATTCTTTACACACCAGCCCTTTATAGGAGGCAAAGGACTGAACATTTACACAAGAGTTTATTTAAATCTTTAGATGATGATTTTGCTGGGATCATTGAAGGCTACAAGAGATCTGTATTTAAAGGACTATCTTAGCACAAGGCAAATTATTCTTCTTCTTCTTCTTTTTTTTTTTTAGCACAGGGCAGATTCTTAACCAAAAATGGGAAAAACATTACTTCCCTCTTCCTAAACTTCTTGGCGGAAAGTCAGTTTTAGAATTTTAAAGCTAAGTTCTTTTAGGTATTGTGTATGATAAAAACCTGTATTGTACGGTAGAAAAGCTCTGCCCAGGGTTTTAGGAGCTCAGCAAGGGGAGGGCTTGATGATATATCTGAAAAGATGAGTTTCAGAAAGAAAGAGAGATTCTACCTCCACTCCACTCCACCCCCACCCCCACCGTAAACAGACCTTCTTCCAGCTTCTCCAAAGGCTCCTCGGCCATGCCAACTCCAGGACTCCTGCACTCATAGGATGGCAACACCACCTCTAAAGCACAGAAGAATTTCAGGCTCTGCTTCTGAAGTGGTACCATAGCATCTTTATTTTCTCTTTCTTCGAGGTCAGAAAGATCCTGAAGCTGTTAGGATTTTAAATTAAAGGTCCTTCCTAGGATCTCAACATAGACTTCAAGATGTTTTGTTATTAGAAATGAAAACTAAACTCCAGTAAACCCAGCTAACAGTTGAGGTCCTATAGCTTCAAAATCAAGTAAGACTTGCAAATGAATTATTAAATACAGAAAACTAGTTTTTTTTAATCTATACCCTACAAATACTGGCGAAAATTATGGACATCACTACCCAAGTCATTGAAAGTATTATTAATTCTAGGTGGCAGGCCGATGCTCAGGTCCTTCCACTTAGAAGCCTCTCACATCTTCTCCCCACACCCAGTTCTCTCCTCTCTGAAGTCCAGGATTTCAATGTTGAAATGAGTCTGATTAGCCAAAGAAAATCTATAAAGTTTACCTTGATGATCCTTTCTGACCATCCATTGAAACCAAAATAATAATTTGCCAATTCTTGGCACTGGGAGCTATTTAGGGCAAGGGCCTGATGTTGAACTGCTTTATGTTTGGTGCCAAGACGAACCTAAAGACATAAGAGAGAGACTGAAAAATAGCACAACCCGCCACAGAGGCTTATTTTGGGTACACCTGAGGTTGATCAATACCTGTTTCAGAGACTGGCTGTGAAGATTAAAAAGGAAACATTATTGTAAGCAATGAGCTCATAGTAAGCCCTAAATAAATGGTATTCATTATTTTTAAGGTACGGTCCTTTTCTGCATCATTTCCAGGGCTTCTGATTGAATTGGAAGATTTCCCTGACCTCTCGTGGTGAGAGTGATGATGAAAGCAACTAAGGAAGCCCTCCAGAAGCAAATTATGTAGGTGAGCAAAGGAAATTGTTTTTGTTTTCCCATCCTGTAGCTCCTGTTTTAGAATATGACCTGCAGAGCAGACAAGATGGACCTGACACGGAGGTAGGACCTTAATCTGCAGCACCCTCCTCCCCAAGTTACTAACCTGTTAGAACAAGGAATATACATACCTCTATAAATTTTATAAGCAACTAAACAACTAGAGGTTCATTTGCATTAATAAGCTTCTTTGAGAATGCAAATACTTCCAGTCTAACTTACGCTCTATGGTGAATTTCTTAAATGTTCTATCTTAAATGTCTACTTCAACTCTAAGCAGGGTGTAGTATGGTAATATATTCATAAAGATTCAAATAATGCAAATGAAGTCACAGCACTATTAATTCTTTATTGATTTGTTCGTGCATCTTCCTCTATCACTAGTTTATAAGCTCCTTACATGCTTGAAGGAACCATGTCTTACTCTATTCTCATTCCTAAAACCGAGCACATTCTGTTGTTGATTGAGTGAACAAATGAAAGAACGAGTGATAAGAAAATAAAATTACTTTCTCCAGCTGAAGCTGCATGCTGGGAAGAAGAAATGAAGATGAACTTGTAATGTTGAGTGCTGCAGGGGAGGCTAATGGCGAGGCATAGTGGAGCTGTTCTGGACAAGAAGGAAGCCTCAGAAGGGCCCCGAGCCTCTCCGTCAGAGAAATAGTTGTCACCTTGGGAAAGCTTGCCAGTTCCTGCTGCCAACCATTTTCCTTCATGCTACTGAAAAAAACTCTCTCAAATGCCTTAGGCCTCTCCTTGATTTATTTTATTTAAGACATTATTCTTTTTCCTGTATTTAAAAAGGCAAACAACAACAAACCCAACCAGGAAGTATATGTAGTTGCCAAAGTAGAAAAGAACATAGAAGTAAACTGGATAACAATTTTGGAAAGCAGGGGTAGTAACCCAAGGTTCTGTGTTAAATAAAGAAAAGAGATCTAATATGAATACGCTCTCCTGTCAACTATATATTGACCTGTAGCACATTTCCTTCATCACTCTCGGTAATCTCAAAACCTAAATTTATGAAATGATCTTAATGTCCAATGAGAGACGAAAACCTCATTTCTTACAACTGATACAAAGTAATTGTTTCATAATCTATACTATCTGAGGGGCTAGGTGAACTTTTCCCAGGCTAGAAACAGGCAGACCATAGTTTGCAAACTAAAGAATGTCTGACAGGTCATCATTTCAATCACAGGGAGTGAAGCCAAGATTGAAGAGGGTGTTGAACAAGTAGGTAGTATACCTAGAGTCACATCTGAGCAGAGTTCTCAGATTCAAACAAGGTTAAATCAATAAGGAAAGGCATATGATAAGAACAGGCAGCCACGTGGGGAGCCTGGGTGGCTCAGTCGATTAAGCATCTGCCTTCAGCTCGGGTCACGATCCCAGGGTCCTGGGATCAAGCCCCACGTTGGGCTCTCTGCTCGGCGGGGAGCCTGCTTCTCCCTCTCCCTGCCGCTCCCCCTGCTTGTACACACTCTCTCTCTCTGTCAAAGAAATAAATAAAATCTTATAAAAAAAAAGAATAGGCAGCCCGTCAGTGTGAAGTAGCCAGATTAAGAAGCCAGTTAGAGAAGGTTGATAAAGACATACAATTACAAAGTGAAAGGTTTGGAAATCTAAGTCTCACTCACTTATTCAGAGGAAATGACATGGTCCTTGATAAAGAAATGGTGATTGAACTGAGGCACATACTGAAATATAATTCTGGGGCTCTGGGAAAGTAAAATGGACAGCATGGTTAGTATGGAATAAAGTTCCTGTAGTGCATTAAAGAATGTTTTAACCATTTTCTGGGAATTGAAGGGCGTCCTGAATAGGCAGTTTGAGACTGATGATGATAATGACGATGAAGCATCCTTTATAAATACAACAGATGAAAGAATTTGTCATTTTATTTTTTTAAAGATTTTATTTTTTTATTTGAGAGAGAGAATGAGAGATAGAGAGCACAAGAGCGAAGAGGAAGAGGGAGAAGCAGACTCCCCGCTGAGCAGGGAGCCAGATGGGGATCATGACCTGAGGCGAAGGCAGATGCTCAACCGACTGAGCCACCCAGGCGCCCCTAGAGTTTGTCATTTTAAATCCACATAATAGTAAATATAAGCAAGACTCTTTCTGTTAAGATTTCTTAAATTAAGGGGCAGGATAAAATGCCACGGGATTTGACAACAGTAAGTTGGGGTTTGATCTCTAGCTTCCAGTTATTATCATGAACCTTAAGTAAGTCACTTAACTATCTTCAGTTCGAGTTTCTTCGTCTAAAAAAAGAAAACAAACAAAAACCCAGGGAGACCGGAGGATCGATGTAGCAATGCATCTGAAAGGATTCCGTAAATCAGAGTGCTGCACAAATGCTAGTCTATTATAACGGAATTCAGCACTCCGTCCCAGTGGAGTTAGGAATTTCCTATTTGGACCCACCTTCACTGGAGAATTCTGAAAAAGATGCTTCTCGTGGCATGCCGTTTGAGCTCTGTGAGCATCCCTTGCTGAATAAAACTTGATGATGCCATAGAAACCAGGACGGGCAACTGCAGCGTTTGGGAAGACGCGGACCGAATACAGAAGGCCAGACTGGGAGAATACTGTGAACAGAGAATGCTGTGGGGTGGTCCCACGCCAAGTAAGTGCATGAAATTTCACGTCCAGAAACCAAAACTGCCCGTTCCCTTATATTCCTTAAACCCTTCTGCACATACAACCCCAAGCACTTCTCATTTCATGAACAGGTCTCCCTCTGAAATCCTAAGATTCGAGAAGCATTAGAAGGCAACATGTGCAGGCTGTTGAGAGTTACCTCTCAGAAATCTGTTGGGGCTGACAGGACAGCTGAGGTCCCCTCTAGAA